GGGGTGGGTGCTCCCGTTCGCCTCTTGACAGCCTCCCCCCCGCGCTGGGAGCGGGAGCCGCACCGAGGGCCTGTGCCCGCCGGGTCTGCCCCGGGCGCGGCTGGGCGCCGCCCGACTGCCCGGCACCGAGCAGGCTCCTTGTCTATGCTCCTGGGGGCGCGTCCTGCTCGCGTGCTCACCAGCCCCCGGGACAGGAGGAGACGAGGCATTGGCATGGAGGAGGCCGGGCTGCGTAAACGGTGGACCCGGGAAGTTGTGAGCTGGTGGGATCTTACGACCCGGACGGGCTGCAGCGTCGTCGAGCTCACAGTGGCCTTTTGATTTGCATCTAAATCAAACTTCAGGTGACACCATGACTTGTGCAGAGCTGCCCGTGACTCCTGGAGCCTTGCCCACTGCAGGGCTGCGTGTGGGGGGGATGCTTTCCTAGTTGAATATGCAGCTGGGCTCTACCTTTGGAGCTTTGGGAGATTCTAGCAGCTGCTGTCTTGTGAATGTAATACCTCCATTCACAAGAAATACCAGCGGCATTTCCCGCGTTTTCACACTTTGAATAGGAATTTTAATTGTGCTTTCCACAATTATGTTTGGAAAAATAATAATGTATATTGTACCATGAATATGAACTATTGTTAAATGTTTAACTATTTTGCTAGGCCAGGAAATTAAATGGTGGTGCTTTTCTTGCTTAGTAGTTACATTTACTACAAACTGATTTACTGACCCTCGCGATTAGCTGTTTTGATTTAGTGATTTGAAAGGCTTTGGTGGCTTAGACTTTTTTGCCCAGGGAACCACTTTCCAATTATGTTAATCACTAAGTGAGCAGCACAAAATGGACCTTGAAGTAGGCATGTAGCCCACACAGGCGTTTGGCAGTGCTGACCCATTGCTTTCAAGTGACCTAAAATGCCAGGTCATCACCGGGAACCTCCTGGGAGGCCTGGATTATAGGAGAGCTACTTTGTAGTTCCTTTGTGGGCTAGAACTCTGGTTGTGGGGGGCTTCAGATGATGGGCATGGTTGTCTGTGCTGCGTCCATGTGATGAGCTGCATTATTATGGACTTTTGCTGTACTTGTTTCCCCTTGAACTTGAGAATATTTTCGTGACAGTGAGGTTGATCTCTTTTGCACCCTCAGCCCCCATGTTAAAGTGTTTATTCTGGAGTAATGTAGAACCCAAATTGCACTTACACGGTCACATCGGAAGCCAGCATTGTTCTCAAAATTAAATTTTTGTTACAGAATAACGATTGTGATTGAGAAAATATTAAGTTGGAGGCATTAAATACTAATTTTGTAGAAATACGGTATATATAGTTATTGGGACTGTACTCTTAGGCCAGTAGGCTGGTCTTTTGTTAGGGAAGCCAAGACATAGATTGTTTCCTGGGGAAAGGTGCCGTTTTATCTTTCATTCAGCCTGGATGTTACATTGTTAGTCATTTCTTCCAGATGACATCTCTTCCTTAAATGCTTTTTGCATTTTTGTGCTGATGCATCTTTCAGCAGCAGTGGTGAGCCCTAGGGTACAAGGAATTCTTTACCTGTGGGTGCACCCCCCCCCCAAGTGTTGTGTGTGTCTCTCTGGTGCTTTTATCTTTATTCTTTATTACCTTCTTTTCCGACTCTCCTCCTTTGCAAATCATACCTGATTTATATTGTGGAATGGAAGTAGAATAGAATGGTTTATTTTCTCTAGATATCAGACTAAACACTTTGAGAAAACAAACAGCCTTGCATTTGTTCTCTACCCCCCTCACTTTTGAGGGGGCACCTCACAGTAGGAAACAAGTTAATGTCCAGCTAATGAAGATGTTTGCTGGGGTGGCAGCTGGCCCTTGTGATCGCCTCCATTCCCCGAGCGTACCTCCAGAGCAGATAACTGGTTGCCATCAGTTCATCAGAATCGATACCTTGGTGATTCTTTGGGTGACTTACAACCTGGTACCTATCAGCAGCTGACTCAGACCGGGAAAGAACAGGCTGAGCAGGGGAATGGGACCCAGAGGGAGGAGAAAGTCCAGGAGAGACTGATGCGATGGAACTTTAGCTGCTTGGGCAGTGCTTCTCAGTTGCTCATGGCCTAGGGTGTATTTCAGCACTTACTCTACCGGTGCATCAAGGATGGCTTTCACTTTTTTTCTTTAGGAGGGAATTCTAGCCCTGGCCAGTTTGACTCAGTGGTGAGAGCATCAGCCTGTGGACCGAAGGGTCCCAGGTTTGATTCCAGCCAAGGGCGCTTAACCTCGTTGCAGGCTCTATCCCTGGCCCTGGTCAGGATACATGTGGGAGGCAACCAGTTGATGTGTCTCTCACATCAATACTTCTCCCCCCCCGCCCCCCAAAAAAAAAGCAGTGGAAAAAATACCCTCAGGTGAGGATTAAAACCCAACAGGAATTCTGAGGTGTTCTGGGACATTTTGAAGAGAGAGTTCACCCAGCATGTAACTCCTAATCAAAGTGCATATTTTGTGTAATTATGGTTTTTTTTAACCGTTTGTTTTCCTTCATTGTTTTGCTCACAGTAAATTTTGCATGAAACACATATAATTATTTTTCTACTTCCTCCTTTTACTTCTGTTTATGTTTTTATTACAGAAATGAGCCGCCAGACTGCGACAGCGTTACCTACTGGGACCTCCAAGTGCACACCGTCCCAGAGGGTGCCCGCCCTGACGGGCACCACTGCCTCCAACAATGACTTGGCCAGTCTCTTTGAGTGTCCTGTCTGCTTTGACTATGTGTTACCACCCATTCTTCAGTGTCAGAGTGGCCATCTTGTCTGTAGCAACTGTCGCCCAAAGCTCACATGTTGTCCAACCTGCCGGGGCCCCTTGGGATCCATTCGCAACTTGGCTATGGAGAAAGTGGCCAATTCGGTACTTTTCCCTTGTAAATATGCCTCTTCCGGGTGTGAAATAACTCTGCCACACACAGAAAAAGCAGACCACGAAGAGCTCTGTGAGTTTCGGCCTTACTCCTGCCCGTGCCCCGGTGCTTCCTGTAAGTGGCAAGGCTCTCTGGATGCTGTCATGCCTCATCTGATGCATCAGCACAAGTCCATCACAACCCTGCAGGGAGAGGATATAGTCTTCCTTGCTACAGACATCAATCTTCCCGGGGCTGTGGACTGGGTGATGATGCAGTCCTGCTTCGGCTTTCACTTCATGCTAGTCTTGGAGAAGCAGGAGAAGTATGACGGGCACCAGCAGTTCTTTGCGATTGTACAGCTGATAGGAACACGCAAGCAAGCTGAAAATTTTGCTTATCGACTTGAGCTAAATGGGCATAGGCGGCGATTGACTTGGGAAGCCACTCCTCGGTCTATTCATGAGGGAATTGCAACAGCCATTATGAATAGTGACTGTCTAGTCTTTGACACCAGCATTGCACAGCTTTTTGCAGAAAATGGCAATTTAGGCATCAATGTAACTATTTCCATGTGTTGAAACGGCAATCAAACATTTTCTGGCCAGTGTTTAAAACCATTGCATTCAATTTTACAGAGAATAGGCATCCTTCTGCCTGCCAACCTGAAACTTTTGGTAGGTGGAGCGAGTCACATGAAGGTAAATAAAAGGAAAGGCTGTTGAATACAGGAAACAGTTGCATGTAGTAACACTAATATATTTAAAATAAGTCAACAGTAAACCACTGAAAATATATATATATATACATCCAGATGGGCATCTTTTGTATTAAGGAAGGAAGCATTGTAAAATAATTCTGAATTTGTGTTTGTTGTAGATTGAGTGTACTGTTGAAAAATACTGGGTTTTTGTTTTTGCGTGAGTGTGTGTGTGTGCGCGCGTGTGTGTGCTTGGGTTTTTTTTTCTTTAACTGACAAGCCATGTTGAGTGGTCTTGGGCCACTGCTTCCCCCTTTTTGAGTCAATACATAGTGCTGCTGTGTGTGTACATTTGTGTGTGTATTTGCTAATTTTTATTAATTCTAGTTTTTCATTAAATAAATTTGACTTTCTTTTCTGTAATTCAGGCTTTTTCCACCTTTTTTTGTACCTTTTTAAAGTTAGTGTTTATTTTGATATGCATAATTGTTTATGGTAAAGTTTATGTGTGTGTCCCATACATATTTTTTTCTCCCCATTAATCAGTTCATTAGAAATACTTTAAATTCAGCTATCCTGTGAAGGTAAGAGTTCCAGAAAGGGAAGGTAACATCGGAAAAGATGATCAGAAGCTATTTAAAGCAGCTATACGATGGTCGGTCTTTCTCTTTTTCTCTCCAGTTGAGTCATACCTTCAAACTTATTCTTTGAAAGGTTAGGATATACTGATTTTTTAAAATACTGAAAAACCCAGCCCGCCCCCCAACATCTTGGACAAATCACACGTTTAAAATTTGTTTTCGTATTTATTGGTTTTGCAAAAGAAGGCATAGTCTTACACAGTATTTGTAATTAAAAGCAAATCATTTGTTTAAAAAAAGGCAGTTTGCAAAAAAAATGTTTTTGGTCTTTTATAACTCTCATTAAAAGAATATCTGGCAAATTAAGAACTCTTGTGTTTGCTTTGCTGTTTGATTAAAATCCAGAGTTACCTCCCTTTTCAATTCTGTGCTTTATAGCGGACAGTGGTGCGCTGCTTTGAAATATGGTGGGTTTTATGCTCAAGTACAGCACAGGGATGGGTACAGGCCACAGTGAGTCCTGGGTCTGGCTCGTCCTACCAGCACATTTGGATTTACTAGCAGGTCCAAGCAGCCTGGATAACTTGCGGCCCTGTCCCAGCCAAGGAGTTCCAAGGTGTCCTCATACGCCCGCTTTACAGTTTGAAATGGAAGATTCTGGAGTCCATTACTGGCTGTGACAGTCATTAGACATCACTCGGTTACTTAACATTGCATTCTAACTTAATATTCGTAATTACACGGGCTTGGGTACTACAGTCTGCACCGTACAGGTAAGGAAAGCTGTGATCCAGGAGCTCGCTTGGCCTAGCTGTCCATACCCTGGGTGCGTCATGGGAGGGGAGAGATGTGGGAGTCCCCAGACCTGGGGGTCGGCACAGGCATACAAGGAGCTGGGGCCGGTCAGAATAATGAGCCTGCCTGCCTCTGGGGCCTGGGCTTTGGGAGGCGACAGGCGTTCGGGGCTGGTGTGTTTCTGTGGCTTTGCTAACATGTGCCGCTCTGCCTGGCTTGATGTCGTAAGTGCTACTCCCCTCGCAGAAGGGACGTGTTGGGGTGTGGACCTCAGAGTTCACTTAACCTGAACACTTCATTTCCCACAGAGACTAACCGCTGGCTGTGCTTTCACATCTTTGCCCAGTTCCCCTTCTACCTGTTTCCAGGACTCCGCAACATAGACAGGAATCTGCTAAGGTAACGGTCTCTACCAGTCGTTCTTGACCTTGACTGTGCATCTGAATCACCTCGAGGGCTTCTTAAAACACTTCTGAGTGTGACTGAGGAGTGGGGCTTCAGAACTGACTTTTCTAGCAAGTTCCGTGCTGTTCTGGGGCCATGCAGAACCAGCGCAACACATTTCCAGGGACGGTAATGATCCCACGAGAGACAAAAAAAATTAATGTCATCAATTTATTAAATTAACGTTTCTGTAATAAACACGAGCCACTGATTGGGTGAGGTTCGTGACTGCTGTGATTATGTTCACAAGGGACATTTTGCTCGCCTGCCTGGTGTGAATAGTGAACCGATCAGTACCTTGGGGCACTTCAGAAGTAAAAGCCCTGAACAGTTGAGCTCTGAGTCTACAATTTGCTATTTAAGAAGCCAGGTCTAGGCTTGACCAAGAAGCCTCCATCAAAAGCAGCATTAAGGACTTCATCCAGGCAGCTCGCCGTGATGAAACTTAGGTCCCGACGCACGTTGCCTGGGATTTCTTCAAGGTCTTTCTCGTTCCGCTGAGGAATGATGATCTGCTTCAGTCCTGCCCGGTGTGCAGCCAGCACTTTGTCTTTGATCCCGCCCACCTGGGGGAGGAAGGACAGTGTTACTTGGGCTGTGACCATCCTTGGCTGTGGAAGGAACCCTGGCCCACCTCCTCCACTACTTGAAAACATCCAGATCGTCTGTTCTGTTGCACCATGAGCTAGGAAAGCTACTGAAAGATTAATAGTGAATTCTTTTCACCTCAGTATTACAGTAAATCTTTTAATGGGGGAAGATTCTAGTTTTCTGATAGCTGGCACCTCTTCTGTCCATGGTTCCTGTTGTCAATGTCTACATTTACAGTCCATTCCTGTAGTCATAAGCTCATCTATGGGATGATTCATAAAAAGTGCCATTTTGACCATAAACACTGCTCCTACAGAGCTCAGCTGTGTGCCAGGATTACTTCCTTCTGCACAGGTTTAGAGCCAGGACCTCTGTGCCACCTGAGGAAGAAAGCATGTCCCCAAACGATGTCCACAAAAACTGAAAAACATGAAGACATGGAGGCTAAATAACACGTTACAAAGCAATGAATGAGTTACCTTCTCACTAAGTTAATGAGATCAAGGACGAAATCAAAAGATACCTTGAAACAAATGAAAGTGAGAAAAACAACAACCCCAAATCTATGGGACACAAGGAAAGCAGTCCTACGGGAGAAATGCACAGCATTACGTGCCTACCTCAAGAAACAAGAAAAACCTCCATCTAACTTTACACTTAAAAGAACTTGAAAAAGAACAACAAACAAAGCCCAGAGTGAGTAGAAGAAAGAAAATAATAAAGATCAGAGCAGAAATAAACGGAAGTCTAAAAAAACAATACAAAAGATGAATGAAACCAATAGTTGGTTCTTTGAAAAGATAAAACAAGATTGACAAACCTTTACCCAGACTCATCAAGAAACAGAGACCCAAATAAAAGCAGGAATGAAAAAGGAGAAGTAACAACTGACACCAAAGAAATACAAAGGATTTTAAGAAAATATGAACAACTATGTGTCTATAAATTGGACTATATGCCAATAAATTGGACAATCTGGACCAAATGGATAAATTCCTAGAAATATACAAAGTTCCAAAACTGAATCAGGAAGAATGAGAGAATCTGAATAGACAAATTACAACTAGTGAAACTGAAATAGTAATTAAAAAAACTCCCAGCAAACATCTTGGACTGGATGGCTTCACAAGGGAATTTTACCAAACATTCAAAGAGGAACTAACGCCTATCCTTCTGAAACTGTTCCAAAAAATTCAGAGGAGGGAAGACTACCAACCTAATTTTGTGAGGCCAGCTTTATTCTAATTCCAAAACCATGTAAACACACTGCAAAGAAAGTTATAGGCCAATATTGATGAACATAGATGCTAAAATCCTCAACAAAATATTAGCATACTGGATCCAGCAATGCATTAAGATCATAAACCAAGACCAAGTGGGATTTATTCCAGAGATGCAAGGGTGGTACAATATCTGCAAATTAATAAATGTGATACATAATAAAATGAAGGATAAAAATCACAGGATCGCATCACAGATGCAGAAAAAGCATTTGACGAAATCTAGCACCCATTTATGATTTAAAAAAAACTCAGCAAAGTGGGAATAGAGGGAACATACCTCAAATGGGACTACATCAAACTAAAATATTTGCACAGCAAAGGAAACCAACAAAATTAAACGACAGCCCACTGAATTGGAGAACATATTTCCAATGATACATCTGATAAGGGGTTAATATCCAAAATTTATAAAGAACTTATAAACCACAATCCAATTTAAAAAATGGACAAAGGACCTGAATAGACACTTCTCCAAAGAGGACAAACAGATGGCCAATAGACATGGAAAGGTGCTCATCAGAGAGATCAAATTAAAACCACAATGAGACAGCACCTCACACCTGTCAAGAGTGGCCACCATCAATAAGTGCTAGTGAGGATGTGGAGAAAGGGGAACCCTAGTACACTGCTGGTGGGGATGCAGACTGGTGCAGCCACTGTGGAAAGCAGGATACAACACCAATAATGGACTATCCGAAAGGGAAACTAAGAAAACCACCCCATTTACACTGCATCAAAAACAAACCTAGAAATGAATTTAACCAAGGGTGTGAAAGACCTGCACTTGCAAAATTGTAAGACATGGAAGAACGAAACTGAAGATGATACAGATAAGTGGGCATATACCATGTTCATGGACAGGTGGAATTAACAAAATTTCCAACTACCCAAAGCCATCTACAGATTCAATGCAATTCTTATCAAGATACCAATGGCGTATTTCACAGAACTAGAACAGACACTCCAAAAATTTATATGGAACCACAAAAGACCCCAGATAGCCGCAGCGATCTTGAGAAAGAACAGAGTTGGAGGGATCACGCTACCTGATATCAAACTGTACTACAGGCCATAGTAATCAGCCTGGTACTTGGCCATTTCGGTTACCCCACCCACTGCTGTCTTCCCCCAAGGGTTTTCTTTATGCCCCTGAAGTACACTTCCAAAGTCCCTTCCTCAGAAAGTGTAAGAGAAACAGATTCCCTGCATGCATGACTGACAGTAATGCTGTGCACACAAAGCTAGGTGTGAAATAATTTCCCTCAGGGTTTTGAAGGTGCTGCACAGGGGGGCACTGATGAGAAATCTCTCTCCTCAGGAGTATGAAGAATCACGAGGATAAAACCTTTCTCCGACCTGGGTAAGTCCTTTCGAGCTAAAGACAGCCTAAGGAATGTCCCATTACATGTTGGACAATTCTAGTCCATTTCCTCTGTTGCTAGAACCCCTGAGAGGCAGATGTTGGATCTGCCAGATTGTTTATTATTTTTTCCTGAATAGTCTGACCAGTTCTAAAACCATAGTTTTACATCTGAGAGCTCTGTCTCGGCCTCTGCCCTGGAGTTCCATTTCCTCTGGCCACAGCAAGTCCAGCGTCAGTGCAGCTGCTTCGTGGTGTCTCATGTGACAGATCACACTGCAGTCTTACTCAAAGTCCCTGCCGTTCACCTCTGCTGGAGTAGGAGCCCTTGCTCTGAGAACGGGGCAGCGCAGGGCAGGCTGCTGGCCAGAGACTTCAGCAAACCCCCTGGTTTTCCTTTCTGTCTCCCCTGAGCTCCTGGGCTAGAGCTTCTTCCACACTTGGCTGGGAAGGCTGTCTCTCCCTCCAGTTCTGTGTCATCAGCCAGGGTACTCCCAGCTTCCAGCAGTTGGCTGAACTACCGGCTTTGACCCCTGCTTGTTATTAAGCGTCAGAATGTGTTTCTTTATTCCTTGATCAGTTGACCATCTTGACCTGGGGAACTGGAGGTCTGTGGTTGTCAGTCTGCTTTTAGGGGACAGCTGGTATTCCTGCTGTCACCCATTCCCTTACACTAGTTCCTGGTGAGCTGAAGAGGCCAGCTGTTCCTTCTGAGTGTAGACCTAGGATGTCACAATAAGTAGGGCCTAGAATACAACTTTCAGGTTGACTTAAACCAATTGGGGAACTGAGAGCACTGGTCTTAACTGGTGATTCTACGATCTACTTACCATTACCTCATCAAGTAAAGATGTTCTCAGAATAAAGACCGTTCCTTTTTTTTCTCATTTTGCTATGAACCTGCCAAAATTTTGTTTTAGACTGGTACAGGTAACTAATGACTTAAAACTCTAATAATAATCTCCCAAGGTTATGTATTTTATCAGTGTTTTTATCAGTAGCTTAAGATACAGAACTGTATATGTAGAATTTTTTCACAATTTAGCAGTTCGACATGGTCAGTCTTTGCTGCAGTGTCCATTTTATAGTGCCCATGTTCCTATGCATCCACCAGCTCTAGGAGTCTGATGCTCTGCAGGACAGAGGTCTCCCAGGAAGGCCCAAAAGTGAGAGCCGGGCTTACTGTGTCACTGTAGCTCCTATCCTATTTTATACCTGTGCCGTGCATCTAACACTCGGCTAACTGGAACAGAGCCCCAAATCTTCACCAATGACCAGACCGATCTTTTCCCCTTAGCAAGTCCTCATTCTCAGAACAAAAAAACATGGGGAAACTATTTGCTCTTTTTGAATTTGATTAAAATTTGAGAATATGAATTACAGCTATAAACATTTTCTATGTATTTAAAACTAAGGTATCCATAGGAAGAAGGCAAAACCACTCTTAAATTTAAAGTATGATTATTTAAAATTTAAAAGTCACTCACGGGAAGAACCAGGCCTCGCAGTGTGATTTCCCCAGTCATGGCCACATCGGAGCGGACCAGCCGCCCACTGAAAAGCGAGGCGAGGCAGGTTACTATGGTAACTCCTGCAGATGGTCCATCTTTTGTGACAGCTCCAGCTGGAAAGTGCAGATGAATGTCTGTGTTGTCGAGAAGATCGAAACTTCCAGAAGCTTTACAAAGGAAAAAAGGACTTTAATGGAGAAAAATTAAACCTGTTTTCTTTTTCTCCTAAAAAAGAAAATCAAGGATATAACCAAAAAAATGAATGTTTTGGGTAAAAGACTCCTTCAAAATATTAGTGGTGAGTACAACTCGAGTGGGGGTCTGGGAGAACAGGTTCGTTCTGTTCCAAGTGGGATTAAAAACGAAACACAGCCTTGGACTGAGTTTCTGGGTCAGGCACTTGCCAGTAGGCTCTGAAATGGGAACTAGGATTTCCACGGCGCCCCCAAATCAAAGGCCTGTACTTGGGAAGGTTAGGTTGGTCCTAACGCTCGCCTCCGCCTCCGCCTCACCATTGGCCAGGTGGTATTTCTTCGCATTGCTGCGCAGCCAGCTGATAGCCAGGTGGGCGGACTCCTTCATGACATCCCCCAGCTGGCCCGTCAGGGTTAGCTGGCCCTCGCCATCCATCCGACTTGCCTCCACGAACATGATCTCGCCGCCTAAGGGAGTCCACGCCAGGCCTATGGCCACTCCCGGCTGGCTCAGGCGCTCGGACACCTGCAGAGAATGATGACAACGGCTGGTCAACAAGAGCTATTTGTTTTCAGGCCGACTGACTCGCTCCTCCAGTGTCTACTACCCCCGGGACTTGGAGTCACACTTGCACTTACTGTGTGGCTTCCTGCCAGGACACAAGATGGACTGACTTCCTCTGTGGCATTTCTCAGAAGCCACTTTACCTTAAAATATCTGAGTGATGTGGATTCCGAGGAGCACATCTACTTACACATCTAATCTCCCAGGAGCAAACCCACTGTCTTAGCTATTTGACTATTCCTAGTAGGTTGCGTGTCTATAAACACTCCCGATCCTAACTTCATGTGGTCACCATGAATTTGCTTCAGAGAGTACAAACCCTCTTTTTAAAAAAAATATGTCTTTATTGATTTCAGAGAGAGGAAAGGAGAGGGAGAGAGAGAGAGAGAAACATCAATGATGAGAGAGTCATTGACTGGCTGCCTCCTGCACGCCCCCTACTGGGGATCGAGCCCGCAACCAGGGCACGTGCCCCGACCAGGGATTAATCTGAGATCTCCTGGATCTTAGGTCGATGCTCAACCCGAGCCATGCCGGGCCGAGCACGAACCCTCTTTTTAACCCGCACTGAGGAAGCGTGAGCTCCAGGTGCCGAGGGACAGCAGACATCAAACCCCCGTCTCACTGCTCTGCTCCTTCTCTTCGCTCTGGTGCTGCTGCTGACACTAAAGTCCACTGCCCAAGGCCCAAGGCCCGAGGCCCCTCCCCGGGCGCTCGGAGCCACTGGTGCCTCACTGCCACTGAAACAGCATGCGCTCCTCTGAGATCACGGGCCCAGCTGATGAGCCACATCCCAGTTATGAAAACAGACTGACAGTGAAGAACCAGTCCTGCTGACTTGCCAGCACCTCTGGGCCTTGACATTTCCTACCCTGCAGGAGTTTCCCACATCAGGCTCTGAGCACACGGTCCACCCGCATGTATCTGAGAACGTGGCTGCACCACAGGCTCTCTCGCAGGAGCAGCTGCAGCCTGGGCTCTGGTCAAGGGCTGGGGAGTTGATCCTCACTCCTTTCCCAAGGGGCTGGGGTGGTAAAACATTCTCAGAAATCAGGGTGGCAGCATGGAAGCTACTGGGCTCCATCACTCAGGAGAGGACAGCAGGGTAAACTGGGGGGTGTCCACAAACAATGAGAACGCTCACCTCCATCTCGTACATTGGGGGCCCCAGGATGTCCTTCAGGGCGTGGAAATCTATCAGAATCGGCATCTCGGGTGGGAGGGCCAGGTCGGCGGTGTCACTGATGGACTCAGGTTTTGTGTCTTCTAAGACATGCTCTCTGCAACCTAAGAGAAAACTGAATTTAGAAATTCCCGGGTCGGCAGGTTTGAGAATTCAGTTGCAGTGACTATCAGACAAGCACAGAGGATGTCCGAAGTCCAGCCCTTTATGCATCTACAAAGGCACAAAAATTCACCTGTGTATCTGCAGCTCAGGCGGCAGGGAGAGTCAGGAGCCCCGAGGGTGGCGTCTGGTGTACTCAGTGCCCTGTGTGTGTCGTCTGTCTCCCCCACTGGAGTGTGTGCTCTGGGAGGGCAGGAACCTTGCCTGTCGTCTTCTTAAACATTATATTCTTAAGCCAAGAACAATGCCTGACACTGTTCAACTCATGGCCTTCGAAGGTCAAATGCAACAGATAACCTGTACAATTCTCAACAGACCCCAAACCTTTCAATGCCCTCTTCAGAGGCATCCCATCAGGTGTCCCATGTCCTGACAGGAATGTGAACTTGAAAACGACGGAACCCATACAAGCGATGCCTCTACTGTAAACACAGCTCAACTCCAAGATGACCATTTTCCAATAAAACTAACATAACTGGCAGGGCGGGGTTGGAGAGCACGAAGCCTTGTGCTAGCCCAGCTCTTTGCTGTCCTGCGCGGCGTTCTGAGACACAGCCGTCCCCTTTGCTACAGACACCCGTCCTCCGGGAAGCAGTTACCGCGTATGTCAATACCCTATGCACCTACACTGTGTATCTAAGTAGCTTTAGTTTTGCTATGATTCTCCCACTGGTATCTTGTGAAGTTAAAAGAGCTGTTTTTCACTAACTTCTTTCCTTCCAAAATTGATTATTACGTGTAATAGCATTAGATCCTAATCTAGACTCCAGTGGTAACTGGAGACCCCGCAGTGTCCCTAAATGCTGCTGCGCACTGAGCCGCGGTGTGACCCCAGGATGCAGGTCTCTCCTGCTGGGCTCCTCAGGCAGGCCTGAGCCATGAGTGATGGGGAGACAGAGGGGTCGCAGGCAGACTCCCTGCCGCCTGCCGGCAGTGGGACCATGTACAGAGCATCGCCCCGCTGCCCACTGCAGTTCTCGTGTGAGAGCCGTCTTGTCACCTGATCCTTCCAAGTTTGGCTCAGGCAGATTCTAGAAGGTCTGTGCTGATCTTTCCAACTCTTACAGCACTTGTCTGGTGATGACCGGTTACTCGGTAGCCTGTGGACACGGGAGATTTTGTTTGCCGCCCACCTGGGATGCAGGGTGGTGAGGCCCTCAAACGCCACTTTAGCTACATGTGATCAGGGCAGAAGCAGATGCCACAGCCTCATTAGCAATCATGCCCCGAGAGAGGCCCGCCCGCCTGAGGTCACTGCCCAATAGTCTGGGGTCTGGAACTTGGACCCACACGTGCAGGGAAGGGACCCTGGGCTTCCTCAGCTTGCGGCGCTTTGTGCCTAGCTTTTCTGAGACCTAATTACTGCTGCCAGCAGGGATCCCACTGTCCCCAATGTCCCAGAGGAAGTGAGGCATATTATGTAACCAGCGCTTCAGGACACCGAGCTCTTTCCAGGGGGAATGGTGAATCCAGAGCTCAGAGCTGAGGGGTGAGCAGGGGAGGGTTCCTCCTGCACCCCGACCTTATCGTATAAAAGATGACGATTTACTCCAGGCTTTAGGAAAAATTCGGCAGACTCAGAACTCACCTGTGCTTCAAACTGCTCCATTGTCAGAACACAAGCCTGGAGGGCTTAAGCTTAGGCCAAGGAAACGGGCCCTGGTCTATAAAGACAGCCCAGAGCGGGGTTGAAGAGCTCCCACTGGGCCTAAGGACAGCAAGAGCAAGGAAATGCTAGCCTCTCACAGACACGCACTTGGATTCCTCACGAAAACAATCGACAGCAAGTGAGCTCACAGGGCCCAGGCTGCAGCTGCACCTGAGCCCCGCACAAGCAGTCGGCTGGCATGTCTCAGTGGCAGCAGCGCCAGCGCCATGTGTCTCCCTGTGGGGGAGGGAGCAGCACCGAGAGGACAGAGGCAGAGGCCCCAGGAGTTGCTGCTGCCCAGACTGACAGGCAAGCAGGACAGACTCTCAGGCCAGGCAAACAGAACTGCAAGAAAAGTCCACCTCCCAACATGGCATGGACCCTGTCCCAAAAGTCCTCCCACGGAGTTGTGACACTGTCTCCTGCTAGGTCCTTCTCGGGCTAAAACAGTGGTTCTTGAGTGGTGAGTCGTCACATGAAAAAGTGATTATTTCACCGAGAAGCAAAGAAGTTTAATTAAAGGCAGGATACCATTTCTGGATACCAAAATAAAGTAACCAGTAAACAAGTTTAAGAAATAACAACAAGCAAAGTGAAAGAAAGTGGAGAGATCTTTGCAAACATGTTGCTTGTGAAAATAAAAATTGGTTCACCCTTTCAGGAAAGCACCTGCCAATGTTTAGAGTAATATTTAATACAGGCTTCTAAGACTGACATGTCTTCCTTTCATTAGAAGAAAACAAATGCTCTAGACACCCTGATTCCAGGCTGGGCCCCGCAGCCAGGGCTCGACCACGATTTCGCTATCGCTGGGCCCGCAGGCGGTAACAGGGAAGGAAGCGGCCGGCTCGAGGCCGCACCCCACGCAACAATGGACGTCACTATTATATTTCCAATAGTAACATTCTCTTCACGGATAATTTTCAGGCATGTTCTTAAAAGTGCTAAGTGATATTAAATAGAGGCTGAAAAGAAAGGCTATGAGGAGCCCAAGCTGCTCAGCCCCCTCCACTCCCCTGCCCTTGCTGGGAAGAAAGGGGGCTGCGGGTGGAGAGCATGCCCGCTGGCTGAGTGGCCCTGAGCTCAGACAGCTGCGGGCTCTGCCTCCCGCGCCCTCCTGCTGAGCCCACCGGGGCTGAAGAGCTGGGGGGCAGGTGGGCGAGCGCCCGCAGAACCTGCAGTGCCCTTGGCCTGCGCAGGGCACGTGTGGACGGCCCCTGGGTGCACTCCCCACGGCTCAGCCACCGGGAGGGATGTGCCACAGCTACCGCCTCAGAGGAAGGGTGAGGCTTTCCCAGAGCTGCTGCGCCAGGCCATGGTCCCCTGTCCTTCCCACCATTTCCTCTGCCAGAGAGAGGGACTGGGGTGAGAGCAAGCCCAGAGCAGAGTCCCTGTGGGAAGCAGGGAGAGGGAAATACATTAAGAGGGAGCTAAGGAGGAAGGATAGAAGAGTGTAACATCTCAGGAAACCCCAGGAGCTTTCCGTTACAAAATAGTTTCTAGCCTTTCGAATAAATCTTGCAACAAATGGGTCTCCTGGCAGGTGATCCAGCCGGTGGAGAGTAGGTGAGTCCGAGCTACCCTGTTTCCCTTCTGTTGCCTGCGCTGTTGGTGTCATATCCACGGGGTAACTGCCAAGTCCAATGTCCTGAGGATTCCCCAATGTTTTCCTCTAAGAGTTTTATCATTTAGCTCCTAAGTTTAGGTCACTGATCAATTTTCAGTTACTTTCCGTCTATAGTCTGAAGTAGGGTCCGCCTGTTCTTTGGCATGTGCATGTCTCCTTTCCAGGTGCCCTTCCCACTGACTGGCCTTGGCGTCCTCGCTAGAAGTCCAGGGACCACAGAGGCGAGCGTTATTCCTCTGCTCTCCCCTCGACGCCATCGTCTACACGTCTGTCCTTACGCCTGTCCTGCACTATCTTAATCACTGTAGCTTCGGGGAAAGTTCAAAGCCAGGAGGTGTGATTCTTCGTTTGTTCTTTTTCAAGCCTGTTTTGGCTACTTGGGAGCCACTCGGATTCCATGTGCACTTGAAGACTGGCTTCTCCACTTCCCTGGCAAAGGCCCGTGGAGTCTGGAAGAGCTTGCCCTGTGTCTGCAGGTCTCGGCAACGCTGGGCCTCCCTGTCCGGGGAAACGTCCTTCCAGCCGCGCTTAGTAGTGTTCAGCACATGTGTCTTTCACCTGCCCGGTGGGATTCGCTCTTAAGTGCTTAACTCTCTTACATGCTGCTGTAAGGAGACTTGCTCTCTGAACTTCGTCGGCCGTTCATTTCCCTACTGCTGTTCAGCGTCCACGCCCTGGTCTGAAAGGGCAGGCCCAGTACCTACCCCACCGAGGGCTGCGACAGGGATGGCGGGCGAGGATCTACAGGAGCAAAAAGGGCCACTGAGTGCAGACCTGGGGCCCATCTGCCTCGGCTAGAATTCTGACTGACATTAACTAGCTGTGAACCTTGGGGACATTATTTAATCTTTCGTGCCTTAGTTTTCTCATCTGTAAAATAGACCTAAAAACAACACCTATCTCATAGGGCCATGAAAGGAATAAATGAGTAAATACATTTAAAATAGAGTCCAGCATATGGCAGGAACCTTATAAATGATCATCACCCTTCCCGCCTGAGTTACCATGACAGCTTGCTCGTTTACTTTCTCTCCCCTGCGATCCTACTGCCCATTTTACTCACTACCTAGAAATGAGTCTAAGTCACTGCTGTAATTATATCCTTTCTAGACTTAAATATCTTTACTACTTTTCATCACAAATTAAGCAAGTTCCTAACTTCTAAGAGTTGCACTCGAGAGCTACAGCAACAGTGTTAACTTACGTTTCTTTTTTTTAATCCTCACATGAAGAAATGTTTTTACTGATTTTAGGGAGAGAGGAAGGGAGAGAAACACTGATATGAGAGAGAAACATCGATCAGTTGCCTCCTGTACGTGTCCCAACCAGGGATCAAACTGGTAACCCAGGTACGTGCCCTGACCGGGAATCAAACATGCAGCCTTTTGGTTCATGGAATGACGTTCCAACCAACCGAGTCACCTGGCCAGTGCCCAACTTGGGTTTCTAGTTGTGCCTCCCACTCCTCTGGAGTGCCTTTAAAGCTGAAGGAGTCACCACTACCCAGACTAGCATTTATGGGGCACAATCTTGGGTAAGAAACTGGGCCCCAGATTCCTCCTCTGTAAAATCAAAGTCAGACTAGATGACTCTAACCTTTCCATCCCATTTCATCTAGTGCCTTATACAGAACTGTCGTCTCCCAAGTTAAACCGAATTTGGGCTAT